GAAACACATGAACATTTGTTGTTACATCTGAAATGAAATACTGATGACAAAATTCATAACTCACAAGACTGAAAGCTGGTAGAATTAGATTGGTTATTAGGATAAAATTCTTCCTTGTTAGGTTGATGAGGTGCTGGCACAGGTTGCCCAGAGAAGCTGTGGCTGCCCCATCCCTGTCAGGGTGGACAGGGCTTGGAGCAGCCTGGTCTAGTGGATGGTGTCCCTGCCTGTGGAAAGGGCTTGGAACTGGATGAGCTTTAAGGTCTCTTCCAACCCAAACCATTCTATGATTCCGTGAAAATAAATCCTGCAGAAGGCAAGGTCATGAACAGCTCAGTTCTCATAAAGTGGAAAGTTTAAATATGTAAAAATAAATTATATTTATTTGAAAATTGTAGGGGTCCAGCCTACATTGGTTCATTGCTTTTTTATTTTTCTTTCTTATGCCTTTTTTTGTTTTTAATAAGAGTCGCCATATTAAAAGGTATTTGTTTCTGACCTCTCTATAATGCTTAGGCTCCTTCCAGTTCCCAGCAGGAAACAGTCTGCCAGCTGAGCTAATTGTAGAGTTGACTATTAAGGCAAATTCTGAAGGCACTTTCTCTGCCTTTGGTACCTGCAAACTAAGAAAGAAACCACACATGAATTTCATACTGACATCATGAAATTTGACTCAAACATTCATAAAGCAATAATAAAAGTATTTAGTTCATATGAAAAAAAGAGTGCGGAAGAGTACCGCCAATGTTTCATAAGGACAGCAATGGCTTTTTATCAGGGAACAGTCTGATTTGCAGTCTTGTCAGTTCTGATGCAGTATGTTTAGGGGGTTGTTCACAAGTTTCTGTATCTCTACAACATGTTGTTAATTTTGTTTTATACTATACTGTTTAAGTATATAATTCTGTTCCTTGGCCTCTTTGTGCTTCTCTTGAAACTGATGTGTTTTCTCAACAGCAGGGCTAAATACATGTCCAGAAAGTTTTGGAAGTGGATCCAAGAGGAGCTGTACTGCTGAGGCTTTCAGGCCTCCCAGTATGATATGGGAGATGCCCGCACTGTGATGGAGGAGGAAAGGTGAGCACTCTCACCGTCAGCAGGTAACTGTTCTGCTCAAAGGTGTGTGAGTTTCAAGTTACAAGTTATGAATCAGAGAATTTGTGAGTTAGAAAGCTCATGAGTTAAATAGTGAATTCCAATGCAAAGGGGATTGAGCCCTTGTTTGTTGTGTTTGTTCTCTTTCAGAGTGAGCTCAGAGAATAGTTTCATTTACAGAGTCTCTTGTCCTGAAAATCTGACAGATCCAAACAGGCTATGACCTATATGCTTTTTTTTTTCCTGTGGAAATACTTGGTTTTGCTGTGTAACAGAACCTGTTTGGGAACAATCTGTGTTACATCCATAGAGCAGTCACATTGACAGAGTCTGATCAGTGTCAGTGTAGTTAATGTGAAAGTAATTCAGCGTGCTGTAGGCTGCAGATGTGATAGGAAAAGAACTACTTGAAAAATAAAACCCAAAGCCAGAGAACATGACACTCCACTGGCACTATGTTTTGCATGTGAAAATTCAGCATATTTTGAAGGTAAATGGGAGCAGTCCTGCAGCAAAGAGAGACCCAAGAGGCATTTCAGCTGGCTTGCACAGGTGAGCCTCAGGGGCTGCAGGGGAACACTGGCTTCCACCAGTGTACACTTTTTATTGCCCATACCTCTGCAAAAGCCACTCAAGAAGATACGAAGAAATTTCTTCTCTACTGGATCCTGCATGGGTGTCAGAATGCTTTGGCCTCAGAAGCTGGGCATACACTTGCGTAGTATTTGCTATTTTGAGCTGTACTTTGGTACTCTACCAGCCCAAAGAAGGTGAGATACTGCTTTTCTTCGGAGAGGGTACAGGTTGTGCTGCAGAAATACATTTGATTCTGGCTTCTTCGTATTATACCAGTGAGTAAAATTGTCCTATATAGTATGCAATACTAGCTAGCTGGTATCTACAAATAGGTTTCTTGTGAGTTCGTCGATATTTATCCATGTAATTCTTGGGATTCCTGGCACAGCATGTGTTACAAATATTCCTTCACATGACTACAATACAAAGAATTTGGTGAAAAGCTGCAGGATTCAGGTGGATCTCGCTGCTTTGCTGGTTTAGCTTGTTCTGGTTATTTTTGGTTATGAACACTGAGTGCACTATTTACAGATTTAAAGATTTTTATTTAAATATGTTTCATTATGATTCATGCTTATGAATCATATGGAAAAAAAGTGGCTCCTCCTAAGATTCCCCTATCATTCCTGAATGCCCTTAGATTAGTTTTGTGATGTTTTAGGGTCAAAATTACTTTAGAAACCTTACTTCATATCCCCTAATGAAATACAGTGCTTGCTTTAGCATGCTGTACATTTTTCTGCATGTGTTCTTTTTAATTTTGTTTGCTTTATTTGGTTAGGAGCATGTTATCCTTCAATCACTTTTGCAGTAATGTGATTTATTCACACGCAGAGGCCTGACCCTACATATATCTGTCATATGTAACAAAAAAAGATAAAATACTGGAAGTTAATTTGACAGCCGCGTAGAATGTTTCTGGTTACAAGTATTGACCACGTTCATGCAGTTATTCAAGTCAGCAAACATAACCAAAACTGCTTCTCAAAATAATTGCATCCAGATTCATAATAGAACTTAGAAAAGAATCGTTTGTTCTTGGATTAAAAATGAACAGTTTTCAGCTAAACCTGGCCTAGAATAATAGGAACGTATTGGAAGTCTCGGTTCTCATCCTTTCTAAATGTTTCGTAAACCCCAAGTATTTATAAACAGGAAAATCTGCAGATAAAATGAAGCCATACATTTTAGCAGCTGGAAAATGCTACTTTCTTCAGCACTCCAATTTTCTGTATTGTTGTAGCTGGTCAATGTTAACTTACAAGTAGCTTCAGTAGGAGCTTTGCATGTAAATCGCCTGTGCATAAATGGAAAAACAGATGAGTTTCCTGCAAGTACTTAATTATTCATTGTATCTCTTGAGATTCAATTTCCTTAGTATGACATTTATTACTGATTCACCAAGCCAGATTCATTCATATTAATGTGTTTGAAAAAATCATGTTTTAAGTATAAGCATTTCAGATAAATAAAAGGATTAGTCACCATTTACATCTTCAGGGAAAGCCACATGGTCAAATCAAGCATGGATGAGTTAGCCCTGAACAGAGTTTTCCTTTTCATATATCTGGCAGTCAGGCAGTTCAGGTAAAATATCCATACATTTCTTAAAGTACACTTTGAGCTTTTAATTATGAAATAAGGTTATGATTAATGAGAAACTTGTGAAAGGATGTAAGCTCTATGCATTGGGGACTCAAGAAAACTTACAAACAGACCATTTTCAAGACATTGAAGTACTAAGTAGTTTTATCTTTAAGAAGTCCACTTTAGTGCATCGTGACTTTGAAGGGCTAGTAACATCTGATTGTTTCACCTGACTGCTTGCGTTATTAATGTCTCTCTGAAATTCCTACAGCTTTGAGTGTCTCTCCGTGATGCACAGAGCCGTAGTACAGAAATTGTCGAGAGAAGTTACTCTTGGCTTCACTCAGCATTGCTAAGTAGCAGTTTTCACCAAAAACTGAATTGCTTTCACCAAAAATTACCCTTACTTCACCTCCCAGTCGCTGGGTTTCACTGCTGTGACCCTCCGCTCAGAGGTTGGTGTGTTGTGCACCCAGGCTGATGCTACAAAGGCCAGGCAGCACAGCCTGGCTGGGGAGAGCTGTTAACCCCCAGTGCCCTGCCTTGTCCCACCCACCAGTTCTCAGTTGCAGGTACCAGCCAAGTCAGCGTCCACAGAGCCAGGGGGCTCTCACTGCCTTTTCAGTGCCAAAAGAATGATGATTGCATGATCTGTGCCTAAGTGGAGAAGTATTAAAGCTATTGCCTGTAGTGGAAAAGTAAGTCTTCTCTTTAGCCGTGGCTTAGTTTATGTTAACTTCCAGAGCTTAACTGTTAGAGGTACTATTTAATTCTGCATGCCTATTGCTAGTATAGCTGCTTCTGTATCAAAAAATGTTTTGCCTATGTATTACTATTATATATTCGATACATATAGAATCACAAAATAGTTTGGGTTGGAAGAGGCCTTCAAAGGTCATCCAGTCCAACCCCCCTACAATGAGCAGAGATCTTCAATTAGATCAGGTTGCTCAGAACCACATCCAGCCTGGCCTTGAATGTCTTCAGGGATGGTGCATCCACCACCGCTCTGGGCAACCTGTGCCAGTGTTCTACCACCCTCATTGTAAAATATTTCTTCCTCGCATCCAGCCTGAATCTCCCCTCCTTTAGTTTAAAACCATCACCCCTTGTCCTATTGCAACAAGCTCTGCTAAAAAGTCTCTACCCATCTTTGTTATAGGCCCCTTTTAAGAACTGAAAGGCTGCAATAAGGTTTTCCCAGTCTTCTCCAGGCTGAACAACCCCAATGCTCTCAGCCTTTTTTCATAGGAGAGGTGTTATACCCCTCTGTGATTGTTTTCGTGGCCCTCCTCTGGACCCTCTCCAACAGGTCCATGTCTTTCCTGCACTGAAGACTCCAGAGCTGGACACAGGACTCCAGAGCTGCAGGTGGGGTCTCACCAGAGCAAAGCAAAAGGGCAGAATCACCTTTTCAAATCAAATAGTTTAATTTGCCAGTTAATGTACAATTAACTGTTTTCCATTTGTCAACCATGTAAACTTTAAGTTCCTACACTGCAGAAGCAAATATCCAACCACCACCTGATTCGTAGTAAGGCATGCAGCTGTTCTAAAGTATGAAGTTCGCTCTGAAGGCACAGTGGGGAACCAGTCACCTCTGCAGATTTAATTCAATAGTTATTTTCTTACTCTTAGGATGAAGAGCACCTACACCAGCTGGATGAGCAAGACAAAATGCTGAAAGAAAAATTAGTATCTCGTCTCCGGTTTGAGCCAGATAGGGCAGAGGCACTGCTAATGGTAAAAGGCAGGGATATTGTGTGTGAGCCAGCTGACAGCAGTGAAAACAACAACATTAAACAGGTGAGAATGTGCATGATCTTAAACTAGACTGTGTGTTAGTATTTGAATATCTATTTTGAATTGCAGTTAATATCCTCCTAGCTATAGTTATACTAGAAGTCTGCCTTAGAGTTTATTGTTACAATTATATATTGTCTTAAGCTACAGTGAAATACAAAAGCATGTACGTTCCTGAATCCTTTCTAAATCTGGGTGCCCAACAGCCCAAAATGAGAACTTTAAAGGTTCTTGTCAGTTGCTGCTAACCCTGCACTCATAAATCAAAGCCAGCACTGTTGCATTAGAGCTTCTGGACTGAGCTCTGGGCCTGGGCAGCTGTGACTGTTGAAAGTGTTATGTCGCTGAGCTCTTAGGGATGTCTTCAGAGTGGTCCAAACCCAAACTACAAACAGATTTGTAGTTGAACACAGGGGCTTGTAGAGACTCTCCAGGCATTTGGAACAGCATAATTTTTGCACAGCTGATTCTGTTTGCCAGTGTGGCTTTGGGGATATTGGGATGTTTTGTCAGACTCAAAGGAGTGATGTTAACGTAATCCCAAGATTTAAAGTATTTTTACATACAGTATTTTGTTTTTTTTACAATTCCTTTTTAAAATCTGGCTTCTGTCTTGGACAATATTACATGAACACGTGTTAATTACATATTTGGTGCCTGTGTCGTCATGGGAGTGAAAGGCTTCCTCCTAGGAACCTCATAAGGTTCTTAGCTTTTTCTTATTCAGTATAAACTCTTTATTCTTATCTTTCACATATGATAGGAAAATTCTGGTTTATGTTACTAATTTGAATAACCAATATCAGACCTCTAATTTTATATATGTGAGTGCCTTACTCCCTCTATAAATCCATGTAAATGAATCTAATTTACATGATTAACAGAATTATTTTCATGTAGTGTTTGACTCAAGTGTCCTGGAAAACAATTTGTTGTTTTAAATTTGAAATTTCTTTTTCTGAAGGTTTTTACCTATTTGATAGAAACAGAAGAAAGCAATTTCATACTCCTTATGAGATACTAGACATTCATTTTAGTGCTCTGATCACCGTTATTAAGTAATTTCTCAAGATTCTTTTTATAAGCAAATTTTCATACACAAAATGCTGGATATCTTAACTCAGAAAAACTCTGTAATGAAAGCTGAGCTAAGCCATCAATTGGTTTGAAAATGTTTTCCATGGCTGTTATATATATATATATATATATATATATATATATATATATGCCTTCTTTGATTTTTTTTTTCTAGATTTACTATATGACCAGTCACTCAGTAGTTATTGAAATTAATTTATTTCTCTGCCCTTTGTTCCCAGTCATCCTCAGCAGAGGAGAAATACCCTATTCTTCGCACAGCAGTTTACAGAGCAAGCAGAGAAAGAAAACACAAAGCAAGGATAAGAGAGGAAGGCATTTGTTTTGGAAATGTGTATGTGAAATTCTAGTTCTTTATGATAACTTCCTGCTCTCCGCTATTTGAAATTTGAAACAGCAGTGGGTGTCTTCTACTGAATTAATTGACTGCTTCCCTGTGAAGCTTGGACTGATGCTCAGGATAAAGCTTACAATTTTTGGTCATTGCAATAGAGTCTGATCTCGTTTATGTCACTGAAAATCTGGAGAAGTCATTGCAAACACAATACAGTCTAGTCAAGAGGGAATGACAGACTATATGAACCCGTGCAAATGTATTCCTATGTACTGTGTTGCTGTCACATGTATACACAAAGACAACTCTAGTTTTCAAACTTAATGATAGAATATGATGGCTGAGTTGATTTTTTTAATGTTTACTGTCTGGAAGTGAAACTAAAGGTGTGTTCACATTGCTCTCAGATGCTGTATCAAAACTCCTTTGAAGTGGCATGATAAGGTGAACGGATGATGTTAGTGGCCAAGAATTGAAGATTCAGAAAAATAGAAAATTACTGTAGTGGGATCAGTGAAGTCCAGGATCCTGTCTCTAATATTAGCAGGAGTAGAGGCTATTTAGGGAGACCACACAAGACTGCGTGGCTACCTTCAGTGGTCCGTTTCCCTTGTATTCCCCTTACATCCATAGGTATTTGATTATGAATGTTTGGGGCTGTAGTGCTGCTGTGTATCTATTTATGAACCTGTTGACCCCGAACTTTTCTTCTTCGTTTTTGCACCTCCTCATGCTGTCATCTTCCACAGATTCCTGTGTCAGGAGGCTCTAGAAGTTCATAATCCCCTCTTCTGGCAGTTCATCTTTTGGTTTCCTTTCCCTTTTACACAGGTGATGAGGAAGGAAATTTTTTTTCTGAGGCTGAAGAGGCATGCATGCCTTCTTAGAGGCAAACCTCCCTGAATTTTGTAGATTGGATTAAAACCACACTTAGGGAATTTTATCCTAAATAATTCTGGGGTTCTGTTGGGTTTTTGTTTTGGGGTTGGGGGGAGCTGCTAATGAAATTTGTTTGCCAGTTCCTTCTCAATGGATCTTGAACTAATTGATCTCTTGCATCTGAACTCATATGAGACCTGTAGACCTCTGGAGGATGTGAACAACTCAGTTTGTGAAAGATCAGGTTTTGTATGATAGGACCTCAATTTTCATCAGTCCTGAGCTAGGCTCAGTGGTCTCCATCTCACACATCGGGAAGTATCTGACCAGTAAGGATCTGCATTCTGGTTGCATCATCAGCCACCATACATGCTGCTGATTGTCTGGTTTAATTAGTAGGTGATGTGAGAGAAATTGAAGATGGAATTATTTCTGGGGAGTGATTAGGGGAGTATTAAAGCATGGATTAGGAAGCTGCCAGTCTTCATTAGTTTCAGTGCTCACAGTACGAGTTAGTTTGTATTTGTGTATTTTGCCTACTAAAAGTTTTTGCTTTTCCTTCAGAAAAGCATGTTAAGTGCTGCTGCTAGTATATATCAGGGACTGCTAACAAACAGATTTCTGTCTCATCCTTCATGGACAGTATTCGACTTTGCCAGCACTTTATCATTCATCAGTTGAGAGGAATCTTATTCAGGGTTTCATTTGCTGAGGTTTTGCTTTTTTGCTCTCACTGCTGTTTTCTGAAGGCACAACTCCACTTAGGACAGAACTGTGTGCACTGGCTGTGCCATCCAGTTCAGCACAGTCCAGTTCTCCACTCCTTTTTTCAGATTTTTCTGAAGTTCTTTAAGGAGCCTTCAGTTAGCTCCCAGCCCCCAAAATAAAGGATGCCCCTATATCTTTGAATGAAAGAACATAGAGTCTCCATTCATAGACTCAAGTACAAGATAGTTGCTAACCACCATAATTCTTCTTTCCAGCCAGGGTTTGTGCTTTTTTATCTTTTGGAATAAATGTTCATATTTGATTGCATGTTATCACATGGAAAATATAATTCATAGCGAATGAGGGCCATTACAGGGGAAGTTTATACTGATCTACCGACCTAAGAAAGATGATGGCAGACCAGTACAGTGCAACAGTGTCCTAGCTGGAGGAGAAAGAAGTTATGGAATAGGGAACTTTTGAGATGATTTTTTGTTTTCTTGTGCGAATAGCACTCACTCCTTCCTTTTAGTAGTTTTATGTTGGAACTCTGTCCTGGAAAAGAAACTTCAAGACTTTTACATTGATATTTCATTCTTTTGTGCATATTTAGTCTGTGTAGGCTGTTGCTAAAGCAGAAAGTTCACGCATGTGAGTTTTAGACAGTTTCAGCTGCTTTGAAGTGATTCTTCTTTGATGCCATTGCCACTCCGATGTAAGATGGATTATGAATTAGCCTTTTCAGTCTGAATTATATAGCCTATTATATAGCATATTCACAACAGAGTTGGGCCAATGGCTGAAGTATAAATATCTTGATTTGTTTTCCCACCACTGTTCCAGTGGTTTATTTTTGGTTGTTATTAAAGATGTAATTGGGTAAATGAGAGCGAACTGTGCGTGAAATCACTACTTCCTTGATGGGTTTTATTTATTTTCCATTTTGTACTGAGAAGGGAACTTTTTTGGAACTTTGAAGATTAAAAATGTATCTAAACTGTGTGTGCTTTTAGTGCAGGCAGAGGCTGTCACCTGCAAGCTGTACAAGAAGCTGGTGTCGCTAACTTTTCTGTGTTCTTCTTTTCTTTGCATTTCAACTGCTGCTGGTTGTTTTTCTTATGTTTTCATACAGGCAAGCTAATGTAGTGCATACACTTTTCAGAGCTCTCTAGCTTAACCTTGAATTACATTTTCATGTGTATTTAACTTAAGAGATTTTCAGATTGGTTTACAACTCTAAGAACGAACTTGAAGAACCCTCAAGATAATGCAAATCCTGCGCTACGAGGTTCTTCTTTGTATGCTTTCTCTAGGAAAGCATTTAATTAACAAAATACTGCTTATTATATCATAGCAGATACCGTGCTGTTCGAATTACTAAGAATGAGAACAAATTATAGCATTGATTTATTTTTTTAAGTAGCATTTTCTTAGTTGTGTTTCCTAGGGCCTAAATTTAGCTTAATCTTCGAGTTCTTTTCGGCTAATCAAAATAATATGGTCAGGAGCTATGCAATCCTGCTTCTGATGCCGATAACACAAGAGGTAGGGCTGTAATTTTAGTTTGGGTTCTTTCCCCACCCTCACTGTTACCTTATTCATAGTGAACAAAGCTCTTCTTCTGTGTCCTAGGACAGCTGTATCCTCATCATAAATGCAAACCATTTGACAAGTCTTATTTTAGTTGATTGTTCTATTTTGCCTGTAGAACTGAATCTTCTCTTATTTTTTTTTCCTTCCTAAAAGACTATATTGTTCAGTTTTAGACTCACAAGAATACATAAGGAGGGAAGAGAACAATCTGTTTGTCAGCCTACTAGCATTTCAGAGCATGAGACAAAGTTAAAAAGCAGCACAACAAAACCAACATCCTTAATGTCAAAGAGTGAGCATTTGAAAATGACACTTCCCACAACTTCTGCTTGCAAAGGAGCTCAGCATGGTTTTGGCACACCACCTTTGTCTTATGTGCATGTTAAAAAACCCAAAATGACAGAAAGAGGGGTAATAAAAGAGATTACTTTCTTTCCTCATCGTTGTAACTGTTCTTTTCAAAACAGTTGTAAACGGACAGTGTCCCCCAGTGCATTTCTAATAAAGAATACTGTAAGTCACTGGTATTCCAGGTTTTTACTTCAGGTGTCATCTGATAGTTAATTTTCTTTTTTTTTTCTGCTGAAAATAACAGATTTACTAGGCTTCTAATATTTGGTGAGATGTAATACTGCAATGGGCAGATGTAATACGAACATACACTCTGTCCTTCTCTCTAAAGCCTTTGGAAGGGAATGATCTTCTTCCTCTGGGCATTTAAGGGGATGCAAACCACACTTTAATTGTAGGAGATGAATATAGAAAAGACTCTTGCAAAACTACAGATCTTTCAAAAACCGAAAAGGAAAAAATGGAACAGTGGAGATATAAAACAAACTATAACTCAGTATACCAACTGTAAAGTGCATAAAAGTGTTTATTCTCATTTTAAAAAGTCAGTTATCCATGCTTCCTTCACGTGTGGATTTACCTGCTGAAAGTTTCTTTAAGTGAGAAGGCTCTGCAATAGGTCTCAAATATGCCTTTTCCAGCATGCTATAATTAAAACTAAATGTGTAATTGTCTTTTCTATTGTCCTCCAGCCAATTTGGGATTTTCTGAAGAGTGAAGTGAGATCATCTCTCTAAAGTACAAAAGCATAATTCATGGTTGTATGTTTGACGAAAGGAAACTACTCACAAAGACTTAGCAGCTCTTGCAATCGCAATTCTTGCTCTTTGAAAGTCATTGTAAGTTTCAAACTGATGGCAATGGGTCAAAGTTTAAGCAGATCTGCAAGCTGGAGCTCATTTACTGTCGGTAAATTCTGGATTAGGCTTTGAATGAAACTTGCAAAAAACATTTTTGAATCAGTTGTGTCCTATATGTCTTCAGCACATTGAAAAAGAAAATTGAGAAACTGCCTTGTAAAACAAAGCATTGAAGTGTAGGGTGGTTCTGGCTGGGATATGGTAACTGTCTTTGAAGTTGTCTGTATGGTGCTGCGCTTTGCTTGTGTAAACTGCTAGAACAGTGTTGGTAAAGCGCCAATGATTTGGGTATTGCCGAGCAGCACATTTCATGGAGTGCAGGCTTTCTGTCTTTCAGAATAGATGAAAAGGTTTTCTAGTCGTAAACATGGCCAAGCAAAAGGCAAAGTGAATGTTATCCTCCATACCCCATAGGAAACAAGTGCTACATTTCCCATTCAACCATATTGAATGATGGTCTTGAATACAAGTTTTAATATACTGTCAACAAAAAGAAACAGCTTCATTAAGCCCATCAGAATGCATTTGGGGAAGTAGACACTGCAGAAATTTAAATTTGTAGGAAGATTAACAAATTAGAAAGTAATTGTGCATAATGATCTGCTTTAAACGACTCGTATTTTCCTTTTTGATGTGTCAGTTACAGATAATGTTAGAAAGACTGAAATGCAAACAGCAGTATTGGAACCAAGTTGCCATAAAAAGACTCGTGAGCAACCAGAAGTTGAAAGACCTTCTAAAAAGCCCTTCAGAACCAAAGTTTGTTCTTATGATAGAACAGGTATGTAACTTGCAGCAGCATAGGGGAAGACTTGTGCTATCAGTTATGCTTGTACAGCCAGTGTCTTTACTTCAGATTTACATTCATTTAATGGAGAATATATTCAATTAGCTACTCGTCTCTTTCCTGTGTTTAGAGTAAGTGTACACCTGGAAGGAAAATCTGTAAATGAGAGAGTACTGTAATTTTAAACTCTATTTCAAAGGCTAATAACTTTACCCTCTGTATTTACTTTTTGATGTTTGGGGTCTTTTTTTATACCTGATCTCAGAGCAGAATTTCAGCTAGCATTTGAATTTTTTATTTTATTTTTTTATATTTCATAGTTAGCTACAGTAAGTTTTCTTTTAATCAGGGGATTTGCAAGGAGTAGTTATGTTTTCCCACTTGCCTTCCAGGAGCAGGGTGGAGGAAAAGAGATTTTGGCCATTATTTCTCCATTAAAGCCTGAGGAAGTGATACCACAACTGGATTTTGTTTTTGGCTTGTCTACAGTGATTTCTATGCACATTCTAATAGGGGTTAAAAAACATGGGGGGAAAAAATATTTTTAGTGCTTTCCAGGACTTCTCAAATTGTTTTCCATAATGCTTATAGTAGTTTTGTTCAGCTGGGGAGTTGTTCCTCTATCCTGGACCTGGTTGGTCTGATCTCTAAAGGGGAGGCATGTTTGCATGTAAAAAGAACTTTCTTTTCAATATTAAGAAGAAAAATAGTTATTCTTTTGTTGTCAACATTCTTTTTGTTTAGATGAGATTTTGCTCTGACTTCAGAAGCCTTTTCTTTCAGTCTTTTAAGCATTTGAAAAAGTCTTTGGCCTGTAAATCATGTTTTCTGCCGAGTACTTTGAATTCTGCTGTGTAAATTACACCAAAGATCAGTGTTAAATCTCAGGAAATAAAAATTGCTTTGCAGACATTTGAACCACTGCTGTTCAGCTGCAGGGAAATTTGGAGTAAGACCTTCTAGGGCACGTTTTCAGTGTCTTCCAACTCAGTCTAAATAACATTAGAACAATCCCCCACACTTGTTAAGGCTTATGGAATGAAACTAAGGAATGAATGGCTGGCTGGTTGGCTTGCTCGTGCGATGAGTCCAAAGATTTTGTGTTTAAGGGAGGGAACCCCACAACCTTTTCTTTTTTCTTCAGAAGCAATTGATGATGATGCTGTAACACATATCTTGAGGCTTCGAAGCAAACTTGGCTGGCAAACAAATGTGCAGTCATCTGAATTGTTACCTGGAGAGGCTGATGTGGCCAGATTTCAGAAGTTCACACTTAAGGTGATTTTTACCTTCCTTCTCACATCCTGTGCAATTAATTACACAGAAATGATGTTGGTTATGAATCTAAAATACTTATTTCCTGCAAGTTTTTGCTGCTTAAAAAGGACAGATCTGTTCTTAGAATCAACAAAACGTTTAAAAAGAATAAACTATTAGAATTAATTCTTATTAGCAGAGTTGAATTGTAATTTTTATATATAGGAAGTGGAAAACACATTATACTTTTCAATGGTCAGAACCATAGCAGGATTCTGAGAGGAGATGGTACCTAGAATTATACTGAAAGGAGAATAGTGGTACCTGGAACTACTTATTCCATCTCTGGTTGCATAGCAATCACTTAAACGTAGCACTTAGCCAGTGCTCCCAATAATTAAGCTGTTCTAACACTAAGCAGACTAGTGGTCATGTCTGTCCAGATCAGACATGCCAATCAGGAGGGCAGTATTTGTTGAGTGATACTGGGCAAGCTGTTCTTGGTGTAGCCACATGGGAGGTTGCCTGTGTTCTCTTACTAGTTTGGTGCATTCAATGACAGACACACACGTATCTGGTTTAATTATAAGTAAACATTATAATTAATGATTACGTTAAATGCACGCTTTTTCATGAACAAAAAATAATAAACAATACAGAAAAAACCCACCAGGTTTATTTCAATGTGCACAATGTTGTGAAATATTTTGGACACAAAATGAAAATAAAATTTGTGTTTATCCCTTGGGACTTCCCATTTCAGATATGACTGCAAAATATTTAGGAAGCATTATAGTTGTCCACAAGTCTACAATTTCTTCCAATTAAAATGCTGTATTTTCAAAACGCCTAGATACCACTGATATCTCTAGTCTTTAACTGTTGGGTGTTTGCTACTTAAAGGCTTTGTGGTGTTTTTTAAGCTTAACAATGCTTAACAGTTTTTATAGGTGATGAAATTGAATTATTGAAAAGTTTCAAGTTTGGATAGGAAATTTAGAATACTAACAAGGTTATGGGAGACTTTTCTCAACAAGAAATAGTAATATTGAAGTAGCTGCTGGTAGAAATGAAATATTATTTAGAGTGGAAATAACAGAATTTAAAAATGTGATGATAAGAGAATAACTTGCAGGTCAATTATTACTAAACTTGTTATGCGGATGTTTGAATACTGTATTTATGTTTTCATGATCAAATCTAGAGATATATGACTTGTAATCCTGAAAAACAAATTGTATATCTACATATAAATAATTTCCTTTTTTGACAGACACCTCTAGTGCTAGAAGATAGTGGGGAATATATATATTGTCTTCAACGAAACAGGAACAACTTTAAAGCTCCCTACAACCCGTACGATTTACAGGTTGTCTCTGTGAATACAGCTATGCATAGCAAAATATATTGGACTGTTTCAGCTTCGTATGTGTCTAAGGTAATGTTGTACAGCACACAGAACAATATGAAGCTAGAGATTTCCACAGGAAGAATATTTTGCTTTCTCTTACCATCTTGCATTCCCATTGCAATTATGTGGCTTTCTTTGCTTACTGGTCCCTTCTAAAGACAAGTCCTCTGCTGGCTTTGAGCTGAATATAGCTCATCCTTTTGCTCAGGCGTGTGTTTGGATCTTGAACCACGCTGTAGTTCAAGACTAGCGGTATCAGAAGATGGGTAACTTCAAACTTAGCACTCATTACCTACCTTCATTTCTGAGCACAGTAATGTACAGGGAACACACTCACATCCTGCATGTCCTGATCTCAGACAGGGGCTGAGACATACCCTCTGCTCTGTTCATGGAAATTGGTAGTGTTTATGACTTACCTTTGCTTTTTCTTCCTTCACTCTTTGCATTGTAAAAGATGAGCCCCTAGTGACTTACTGATTAGTCTTTGCTTAGTCTTGGCAGTATTTTCTTTTTTAAAAAACCAGAAAAGACCAGAGTTTATTCTGTATCTCAGAATGAGGTCTCACAGCTGGTTTAAGCCTGTGTAAAGCAGCTAAGAGACTGGCTCTAAGCCACCCTCTCCATTGCACTGGCACTGGTGGTTTCATGGCCAGTCTGTTGGATTGTCTGGCTAATTTAGGTGAAAATGAAAGAAAATACTTTGTATGTGTATTTGTCTGCTTGCCAGGTTAATTGTCAGTCAGATTAGAGAGCTAATCCATCTCACCAGGAACGCAGAGTACCGATATTCCTAAAAGAAGTGTGCTAAAAATAATACCTTTTAAGAATATGAGCATCACATTGCAGGATGTTTCATCAGTTCTTAAATGTCTTTGAAGACAACTCAACTTTGAAGCCCTTTTTCTCTTTAGCATCAGTAAATTTTAGAGCCAGTATGACACTAAACTTGCATGGAAGAAGTGATAATTGCATCATTTACATAATTGGATTGTTGCTGGATGCTAAAGTGAAACTTTTTGTTGTATGTATGAGATACTTAATTTAAATGTCAGAAAATTATAGACATACCTTAGAAACTCATGCAATTACTATTGTTAAAATGGGGAAAATGTGTTTTCTACCAGTGGAGGTACTAACCTTTTATAAAACCAAATTGGAAAAAAAGAACAAGTGTTGGGAACCTGACTGGGGGAAAAAAACCTACGGCCTCGTTTCTTTGCCTTCAGAAAAGGCACTGTACTACTTGCTGCAGTACAGAAATTTGAAGTACAGCCAGGATTTAAATACAAAGTGACTTGTTCCAAATCATTGGTAGTAAAAGAGCTGCTACTTGCTTTGGCTAACCCACAGAATGATTAATTCAAAACAATTAATTGGTGCTTAGTAGCCACTCTTCTATCTTTTGTACTCCTATGAAAGATAATGAAGATTTCTATGTAAGTGCATCCCTGCGTTGCCAATTTACGGTGTTCTTGCCAGACTCCAGTCTATAATTTGAAGCTAATTTACAATTCACATTTATATCCTTTCACATAGGAGTACACATCCTCTTAGGAGAATGAAAATCTGTTTGCTTACCTTGTTGTTGTTCTAAGATGGACTTTGTCTACCTGAGAGGTATGGCAGAGGTTCGAGAAGTGGTTTTGGAGTTCACTGCTAGAAGCTGTTATGGTGACCTATCTGCCCACGTTGTATTGAAAATCTTTCCACAGGTCTAATTCTCTTTTCCTTTTATTCAGTGTTGCATCATGCAGCAATGGGAAAATACTGATATTCCATAGATTTACTTGCTTAACAGTAAGTAAGTACATTTGCATTTCTCCTTAATTACTTATTTTGCCATAATTACTTATTTTGAATGATAGACACATCTTAGTATTTAAGATGATAAAAGCATCTAGTAACTGTAAGCTTGTTCAAAATTAAACAAAACCATGATTGGCAGACAAAATGAAACTTGGTGAGTTCCACCACCACTGAGGTCATCAATACTCATGCTTTTTGTCTTTGATAATAAGGATTTGGTAATGCTTGTCGAATTCTTTCTTAAAAGGACTTGGGTTTTTTTTCTTCTTCTTTTCCCTAGTTTTCTGCAGACCCTAAATTAGGACAGATGGAAATAACAGCAGTGCCACGGTGGCTGCATGAAAGACAGATGTATTATAAGTTACACAATGTGAAATTCATTTCCAGTTTCAAGTAAGGAATGTAAAAGGAAAAAAAGTTAACTAATTACAGTAATACATATCTCTGGGAATGTCATCACATGCACTAAATTTTAGGAAGCGAGTTTTCCGTTTGTCCTCTTTCAGCTTATACGGACTATGAAATAGCTTGTGCTGCTCGTTTATATAGAATGCATTCAAGTGAATTTTGTAGTGTAAAATAGAAGAAAATATGTAGTGGTGAAATTGTCACATTTTTCTGGCTGGCTGTTTTGGAAACATCAGTAAAAACATGATAGCTGAATTTTAACCTCTTGCTTTGACACATATTAAACATCCATCTCCTGTACCTATGTTTCAGTATTTTATTCGTATTGCTTTTTGGTGGGATATGCTTGTTTCTGGTTTATTTTTGGCTTTCATCTTTGGAAGATTGCTGAAAGTGATTCAATTTTGGTACTTGACCCCGTGTCTAATGTTTGAGTTGCGCAGGCAAGATTTTTGTGTGTTCATCAGTCATGACAATGATTACATGAATTTCACACATTTTTGCAACTGTATTTTATGTTTGCCAGTGTCACATTCCACATATAAAAAGTAAACAATGTCATAATAATCCTAGTTCGTTACACGGCTCCACAAATTTCTGGTAATATTTGTTGTTATGCATATGTGTGTATCTATGTCAATTAGAGAAGGAAAGATTGCTGCCATGGGAATGCTTAGAAGACAGATCAGCCAGTTTTAAACTTTTAAACAAAATTTCACCAGACTGACTTTCTTTAACTGTGCATTTGATGCTCTAACTGTGCTGAATGCTTAGTTCATATCCATTATCAGTCACTATCACTCTAAAGTCAGTGAAACCTTCACAATCTCTATCTGTGAGTATGCAGAACCACAGAGTAGATGTGGTGTGTATAGCGCAGTTCATGATTGCCTGGGTCACTGTAGTTCAGGAGGTAGGACTCAAAACCTGTCTACAAAGGGAAGCTGAAACAATAATGAACATGTTGCAGCTCTTCTCCCTGCCCAACCACATGGGGCATTCTACCCATTTATAAACGTGTTGTGTTTATGCTGGTTCTAGAGCTGCAAAAGCTTAATGAGTACTTTCCCAGGCTGAAGCATGTGCATTGTCCTGTAGCTTGGCTGGTTTTGTTTGCTGATTTTCCTCAGCTGCTGTTTCTATTCTTAAAGCAAAAGTAAAGCTTGCCCAGCTTTGCGGATGTGTGGCAGTTTGATCGCTGTTCAGTAGCCAGGAATTATGGATTCTGGGACCCTTTGTTTTCAAACTTGGCCATATTTTCAAGGCCTTTACTGTTATCCTGTCCTTAACCTACATCCCCAAAAGAAACATCTGGTATCAAGGTCCGGTTTACACAGGACATTCCAGCACAAGTTGGTAACAAGCCTAATGGCCAGCACTGGGGCTTAGTGCATAAGGCACAGTTAATTTAAAGCTTCTGGTTTGTTATTGGCAGTGGTAATGCTAAAATAGTATTGGGCACAGAACAGCTCATGCTGTTACAGTAGCTTAGGGATGCTTATGTTTGGGTTTAAAACAAGCTAATACTAATGTTTGCTTAGTGTACTTTTGTGAGTGCAGCCAGCCTCTTCTTTAGCTCTACTGTTCATAAATGTGTAAGACAGATGAAGAGGTGTGGAGCAGATGTAGAAAGGGGAAACTGGCTGCATAGATCCACGTCTGTCTCCCAACAGCACCAGTGCTGTTAATGAGTAGTTGCAACAGCAGGTGTGACAGTCTGTAAAATTTTTATGCATAAATAAAATCTTTCTGTTGCTTCTAGAATGAAGAAGTACTTTCTAGTCTGGAAAATCGGTGTTAGAAGCAAGATGGACAAGACCAAGTCAGCTTGAATGTAGGATTGTCATGGGAAGAGAATAAAGAATACTTCATCCCCTGCTATACGCTTTACCCGTTTGCATTTGTTTTCCTTAAGTACTTTATAAAATCAAAGCTCAGGGTTCTCCAGATTAAAATTCCAGGCTCCCTCACAGCAAGATTAATGTACCAGGAAGCTTTTATTAGAGTAAGTCTTCCATGCTGTTGTGAACAGGTAATCTGGCATTTGTATAATTGTCTCTGTTGATTTATGTTTGTCTAGTGCCAAGCACAGTGGGGTTCTGCTTTATAACTAGGGATTTGCGCTAGACATAGGATGAAAATAGTAATAATACAGTCTTGTCTTGTAAAATGACAGTGGTTGCACCAAATCCAGGCTAAATATGGGCTGGATGAGATGATGGTTTTCAGTCTGCATGTTGAGATGAGTGAACAAAATCCCATAACACTTCATCTATTCTCCTTAAGGCCATCCTTTATCGGCATGTAAATAATACTTGTATTATGTAGGTTTGATAATGAGAAAGACATTGTTAACTCCTAACAAGAGATTTTTTTCTCCCCCTTTTATTGAAATGTATCCTATTTTTAAGAGGTTTTTAATTAGCCTTGTGTTAGACACTTTCTGGTGTTTATATCAAAATGGTTAGCCTTATGCTGAGAGCATAGGGATTAGATCTTTCACTTGTGCCTAGGGTAAGGAGCTGGGAAAGGTTGATGGCTGTTTTCTTCCATTTGAACAGTTAAGTGGAAAATTCATAAACTGTCAGGTGGTCTTTTGTCTAATTTTAAAGATACTGAAATAGGAAAGGTATTTGAGTAAACAGGGTTTTTAACTGCATAAAAGCTGAAAACTGTCTTTTATGGAATGCATCATTAAAAATAATACATGATGAGTTGGCTTCTGAAGAAAAAACCTCATGTTTTCTCCTTGGTTGGCATTAGTCAGAGACACTTTCATTAATTCATACATTAATGCTTAACAGATACATAGCGCTTTCCCTTAAGCAGATTTTTTGTAGGTGGCAAGTTCATCAAAATTCAGTTGGGGCACATTAAATGACCTGACTATAGAATATTTTTAGTATGTTTTATCAAAATGAGATTTGTCTCTTGAAACGTGTCTTATGTCCTGAAATCATACAACTTTAAACTTCTATAACCCTTTTATAAACTACGAAGTAGTCCTGATGCTCTTCACACTTCAGCACTTGAGGAAATTTGTGGGGGAGCTTTTCCTGGAGACAAAGATGGTGAGACTGAGCACAGTCCTTCTAGAGTCTGTACATTTGTTGAGGCTTTGGATTTGGTTTTTTTCTTCAGTATGTTGAAGACCTTCTTAATAGGTGGGTTAGGGCAGGAAATCACAGAAGGTCTTCCCATGCTATGTTGACTACACAGCCTGCTTGTGCAACTGATTTTTACTCAAACAATTTAGATCTCTGTGCATGAAGAAAAGCAATTCAAAAATTATTTTGTTGGATTTGTTCAAATTCTTTATGTTTTTCAAATGTCATCTTGAGGCGAAGCTCAAGCTCTTCAAGCTCTGAAGTTTATTCATGCGATCAATGGTTATGCTTTGGTTATTTCTTAACCATTTCATACATGGTTATGCTATTTCTTATTTTAAAGTCATTTTAAAAAAGTCCTCTAAACATGGATAGTGAAACCCCAACACGTTTGAACTGTACGTTGGTTTGCTGTTTTTTTCCGTCTTCTGTACAAAGGTGTGTACATTACAATCACAGAATAGTTAGGGTTGGAAAGGACCTTAAGATCATCCAGTTCCAACCCCCCTGCCATGGGCAGGGACACCTCACGCTAAACAATGTCACCCAAGGCTTCGTCCAACCTGGTCTTGAACACTGCCAGGGATGGAGCATTCACAACCTCCCTGGGCAACCCATTCCAGTGCCTCACCACCCTTACAGTAAAGAACTTCCTCCTTATATCCAATCTAAACTTCCCCTGTTGAAGTTTTAACCTGTTACCCCTTGTCCTGTCACTACAGTCCCTAATGAAGAGTCCCTCTCCAGCATCCCTGTAAGCCCCCTTCAGATACTGGAAGGCTGCTATGAGGTCTCCACACAGCCTTCTCCTCTCCAGGCTGAACAGCCCCAACTTCCTCAGCCTGTCTTCATACAAATCACATAACCAAAAAAACCCTCAGTGTCTATGTTTTGAGTTGGAGACCATATAATGGCTTTGTTATCCAAAACAAGAGGTTTGATCTTAGTCCACTTACATGTTTGTTCTGCCTATATAGTGCTCCTTTTGGGTGTGTATTCCCCCCTTCATAACTTGGAATTTAAGATTCTGTTATCAGGAGCATCTGCTGAAGAGACACCCTCCCTTTGAATACTCCAGTGCTATCAGCCAAAGGTATAAAACTCATTGCTGCTTCTCATCATCTTACTAGTACCCTAGTCCTTAGTGTGTCCTTGCTAGTACTTAGTGTGACATATTTTAATAATGTTATTATAAAGGAGTTACATGTTAAATAAAGGAATATCTGCTATCATTTCAGTTGTCCTGAGTTCTCAGATTTTGGATTACTCCTGAACAACTGGTTAAGATTAATATGAATTATTTTTGAAGAGTAGAGAGATTTTAAAGGAATCTTATGTAAAAATGTAAGAAGAAAACAAATATTCTAGAAAAGACCAGGCACTCAGCAGCTCTCTGGACTTGCTAGGAGAGAACATAAATTACGCCTCATGGATAAGGTGCTCTAGCTATAGTTGTTCAAGGATTTTTGTGAGAACTAAAACCCAGTCCTTTACCTTTGAGAAAAATAATGTGTTTACAACAAAGAAAACCAGAAATGTCAAAACCAAAGCAACACTGGTCTCACAGCCATCTCTTGGTGCCTTTTAGGTTCAAGGTCCATAGAACTTCTACCGCCTGACTGATCTGAATGGTAGCTCACCAAGGACCCATTCAGCAGCTGATGGTGACAGCCACCAGGACATCATTTGGTACCTCAGTGCTCATTTGCTACAGACTGCTCTTCTTGTAAATGTGGTAAGAATTGCTTAAGTCTTGTTAATTCCACTGTTAATTACAAGCATACCGTTACTCGTAGTAACTTCACCACTACTTTAATATGACAGTCCATAATTTGTGACTGTTCCTCTGTTGTACCACATTCTGCTCAATCTGAGGACTTACTAGTGAGCATCAGCATTCTTTCTTTTTTATGGTATCAGTACTAAGCTCTGTTTTGCTCGTGTCTAGAGTTATTTGTCGCCTGATACCCAGTGTTGGTGTTAATTCTTTTAGGGCTTGAGACAAATTCCCCAGCTTGCAAAAACTATGTCAGTAGCAAAAGCTAGATCCTGATCGTGTTTTCCTTCCTTGCTAATCAAGAGGGACTGAACTAGAAGTACAATTCAGATGAACAGACACAAGAAAGTTGTCTTCACAGTGTTTGACAGTAGTCAGCATATTTGCAAGGCTACTATAACAATGCCTGCTTTGGAGGGGCGGTCGTGGATGAAGTCTTTAACCAAGGGATATTACTCTCACTTCTTGTTCAGGTTAACTAGATCATCCGTTAAGAGGAGCTTAAGCAGACATACCCATATAACTAGGACAAATCACTTTCTTCAGGAAGACATCTGCTTTCAGATTTCAGAGCTTGCCAAATAGAGCAAAGTGCTGCAAATAAAACTGAAAGCTCAAATCATAAAAAGAGCTCTTTCATAAGCAAAACTGCTAATAAGAAAAAACAATGCAAATAGAAATAGCAAAATCTTGTCTTTCAGACAAGATAGAATTGTATCAATCGGTATTCTTCTAAGATTTCAATTTTAAAAACCTCCAAAATGTTTGCAGGTGAAATTAAGATTTTTATTATATTTTTATTTTGAATCACAGAGGGGATGAACTTGTGTCAAACATAGTACTGGAGGAAACCCTGCATGAGAGAACCAGAATCTTCTGGTATTGCAGTCAGGTAACCACTTTTCTGGAATGTCAGCAAAGATGAAAATAACTGAAGTTCCTCCTTTTTGAAATCATTAGATTATTGAGTACTTCTACATAGAGTTTAAGTGTATTTCTCTTTAGTCTAAAGTAAAGATGCCTCTGGTGAGGCTGCAGTTTGTGGTAATTCTTTTACCCCTCTAACAAGAACATGTCAAGGGAGTAGTACAAGTATTGTGCAAGTTTTTTCCCTTCTCTGTTTACTGCTCCATTATATCACCAGTCTCCCAGCAACTTCGGGGCAGTTAATTTGGTCATTCTGACTTACAAATGCAATGGGTTTTTCTGTGTCACTTCTTTTTCGGGTATAACATCTCAGGAACATTAACAGAGTTACTAAACAGACAGTGACTCAGTTGCTCTGCCTCCTTGACTTTCATCTTCTTTCTTTATACTTATTTAGGACTTTCTCTGTCTCAAACATAAGGGTCTTTGTTATTTTGGATTTCAAAATTGTGATTTGCTCTTTGGAGTGTTTATTTTTAAATGTGTGAATTAGATACATGCTACCCCTGGTATATTGCTTACTAAGATGTTCTGTAGAGCTTTTATAGACTCATTTCCCCTGCAGTGAAGTATTTCAATTACTTCGAATCCTTTGTGTAAGCACACTGACAATGCAATATAGCTTCAGCAAGGGCTCTGTGTGCAACCCATGATAACCACCCTTATTTTACAATGAAGGAATTGATCAGGGAAGGGAGAAGACCTGCTTTTTACGTTGTCTGCTGAAGGTTCAGAGACACTCAGAGTACCACCACTAAACTGAAGGATGCTGCAGAAGGATGTTAGGTTTTTGAAGTTCTTTCTGTGTGAGCCTTGTCTATCTGGTTTGAATAACTCTACAGGAAACTTTGTCATTATTCTTTACTGTGAAGGCTGCAACAAAGGGTGAGAACAATGCTTAAACCCATGAGCAGATTGGGAACTACTTGTACAAATAGACCTATGGTACCAAAACAATGCATGTGTCACAAGATTAAGAAATGAGGCTTAAGTGGCAGTGGTACTTTAATTGTAGAAGGATCATTTCAGAAAGTCTGTAGTTCAGCCCCAGAAATGTGGGCACTGCTATA